AAGGAGAAAAAAAAAAAAAAAAAAAAAAAAAAAAAAAAAGATGCAGCACCCCTTCATTTCTTCACTAGACTTAGAAAAACTTTCCAGAATACTGCTTCACACTGTTCTGCAGCAAATACTGTGCATTCTGTATCTGGGCCTGTGTTCCTGTAATGGTAATAATCCGATCTTCGGACCCTTCTAAAGGCTCATCAATTTTGATCGAAGCTCCTGACTCATGATGGATTTGTTTAATCCGCTGACCACCTTTGCCAATAATAGATCCAGCCAGATCTTTGGGAATAGTTACTTGTGTAGTAATAATAGGTCCGCCAAGATCACCGTATGAGCCACGACCCCCTGCATAGGAATAATCACATCCAGAGCCACCCTGTGGTTCATAGGCCATCTGCCACTCTGACGGGCTCCATGTATCTACTGCAGAGCCCCAGGTTTCATCAGCACTGAAACCAACCACGCCGCCGTAACGGTCGCCAGCTCTCCCTCTTCTGTCGTCGGCCATTAGCTCTCCTTCTCTAGGTGGTGGTGGTGGAGGAAGAGGAAGATTCCGAGCTCTGCCACCACCCGGGCCCCCTCGTCCAGGAGGAGGTGGAGGAGGTCCTCGACGAGGGCTCATCATCATAATCCCTTCTGGATGGAGGCATGGGACGCCCACCCCGACCAGGGGGCATTCTGTCAAAACCACCTCTTCCCAGCGTGGGAAATCCCACGGGACATCCACGGCGGTCATCAAACATCATCGTAAAACCACCGTAATCATAGGTTTCATCGTAAAAATTGGGATCATAAGGCTGAGCACGTCCTTTGATGGGAGACTCTGATATAAGATCAAGGATGATCTTTATGCACTCTACAACCCTATCAGGTTTTCCTCCAATAAGAACAACTCTGTCGGTGGATTGAGGACAACGTTCCTGGAAAAGCTTGATTGTTGCCTGAGTGTTCTCTCGAAGTTCTTTGATTTTAGCACCTTTGAGCCCAGTAGTTCCTCCAGCCAGACTCTGATGAATCAACAGTCTCAACTCGCAGTCAAAGTCGCTTCCTTTATAGTGTTGGTAATTTAAGCATTCCACAGCATCAGATTCGAGTGGGAGCTGGCTGGTTGCAGTGGGTGATGGCAACTGCAGGCCCTCTTCCAAGATAGGGATAATTTTCTTCAGAATTTCTCCAATTGTTTCAGTACCAGCACTGATACTCAATATGCACTCGGGGCCACTGCTGTCTGGGACTGAAACACTGGCATTGTAGTCTGTACGGAGAGCCTTAATATTCTTGCCTCCTTTTCCAGTCACTGCCCCAGCATTCTTGCTCTGAAGCAGAAGGCGTAATTCAACCATCTCATCAGTGTTTCTAGATCTTTTAAAAGTTTCTTCGTCTTCCATATCTTCAGCAGGGCGTTTACCTAATTCACCACTGGTTTCAGTGTTGGGAAAGGTTTCCTCTGGCTGTTCAATTTCCATTTTCTTGTATTAAAGGGGCACACCAATCAGTTATTAAATATATCTTTGCAGGGCAGAATTGAAGTGTTCTGGGCGGGACCAACTGACACCCTAGTGCTGCAGTAGCTGGGCAAGGCTACCATCCCTATGCTGCTGTGCAGCCTCAGCCAGTCACAGCTAGACAGAGAACCTACCTTTTGTTCTTATATTTCAACAAGGAACTGGATCTATTTTTCTGCTATCACACTATGGGAAATTTACCCAATAATCATGGATGGTATAAATGAAAATGAAAGATAAGTAGTTCTCAGCATCATGACTGTGAGATTCTTTCCTAGGCACACTATTTGGGTACTCTGTATCCACACAAATTTCCCATTACTATCTCATTTTGGCGGAAAGAGCACTGAACTAAATGATCAAAAGACCTAACTTCCCACCCAAGCCCCACCAGCTGTGTGAATTTGGCCACATAAGTTAAACTCTCTAAGTCTTACCTTCTTTAAAATAGAAACATTAAAATCTACCCTGCCTGCAATATCTTAGCAAGTAATTATAAGGATTAATTGACAATATGTGTGAAAACTCTTCACAGGTTCCAAAGTACTTGGCAATTTCTTTTCTTTTTTTAATTGAGTTAACATTGGTTTATAATATTATGTAAGTTTCATGTGTACATTATATTTCAACTTCTGTATACATTACAATGTGCTCACCACCAAAAGTTTAGTTTCCATCTGTCACCGTAGAGTTGACCTCCTTTACCCATTTCCCACCCCTAATCCTTTCCCCTTCTGGTAACCACTACTCTGTTCTACATGTTTGTTTTTGTTTGGTTTGTTCATCTATTTTTGTTTTGTTTGTTTGTTTTAGATTCCACGTGAGTGAAATTATATGTTAGTTATCTTTCTCTGTCTGACTTATTTCACTTAGCATGATAATCTCAGTGTCCATCTATGTTGTCACAAATAGCAAGACTTCATCCTTTTATGGCTGAGTAATATTCCATTGTATATATACTGTGTATATATACATACCATATCTTCTTTATCCATTCATCTGTCAGTGGGCACTTAGGTTGTTTTCTTATCTTGGCTATTGTGGACAATGCTGCAATGAGCGTAGGGGTACGTATATCTTTCTGAATTAGTGTTTTCATGTTCTTTGGATAAATACCCAGAAGTGGAATAAATGAATGATATGGTAGTTTTATTCTTAATTTTTTGAGGAATCTCCATACTGTTTTCCATAGTGACTGCACCAATTTACTTTCCCACCAACAGTACATGAGGGTTCCCTTTTCTCCACATCCTTGCCAACACTTGTAATATCAGGCCTTTTTGATAATAAGTGCTTGGCAATTTAATGGCCTTGGTATTCATTTTTAAAATATTTATTATGTATCAGGCATTGAACTAGACTCTAGGTAAATAGTAAAGGCCTAAATAGACATGGTCCTTGCCCTCATAGAGCTTACAATCTAGTGGGAAAGATGTAACTAAAAGGAAACAAATACGTATAAACTTTTTAAAATGTGCAATATGCTATGAAAGAAAAGGCTATGAGAGAAAATAACGAGACCTATGTTAGATTGGATAGTCCAAGAAAGGATTCTCTGAGAAATGACTGTTTACTCTGACACCTGAAGGGTAAGAATAGTGGGTTGCGCTTCCCTGGTGGTGCAGTGGATAAGAATCTGCCTGACAATGCAGGGGACACCGGTTCGAGCCCTGGTCCAGGAAGATCCCACATGCTGCGGAACAACTAAGCCCGTGTGCCACAACTACTGAGCACGTGAGCCACAACTACTGAGCCCTGTGCCACAACTACTGAAGCCCACGCACCTAGAGCCTGTGCTCCGCAACAAAAGAGGCCACCACAATGAGAAGCCCACACACCGCAATGAAGAGTAGCCCCCGCCCCCGCCCGGCTCTCCGCGCCCCTCCCGGGCGCCGGGGTGGCGGGGCCGTCGGCTTGCGGCCCTCAGTGCGTCCGCGCGTTCGCCCGAGCGCGGCTCCGCGTCCGCCGCTCGCGGCTCGGCGCGCGCCCCGCAACACCGAGGCCGAGCGGGGGGTAGGGGTCTGCCCGCCATGACCCCCTGGAGCGCGGCGTGAGGGGACCGAGGTGAGCGCGGGCAGGGGCGCGGTGGGCGGGCGCGCTCGGGCGTCTCCGCG